AAAGGCAGAGGTAGATGAATCTCTAATGCTCTCAACCTCTACGCATGTGGCTCCTACCAGAAAGCTTACACAGAAGCACATGCGGTATCCCAGCTAGCTGCCAAAGCCCACGGGGAAAGAACGTTTCCCCCAGCACATCCAGCCCCAACACCACAAGGGAAGAGGACCGCGCTTCAGCAAAGGAGGCTGGACACAGCACTCTCCTTCCTCACCCTGAAGCAGACACTACACAGAGCAATGAAAGCGGCTTAACAAAAACTGAATATTAAAACGTAAGATAGATGAGGCATGAATATACAAAATGAAAGGAACAACTGGAGAATAAGAAGGAAACAACTTTACTAAGAAGCGATGAAACTGTCAAATCAGTTCTTAATTACGGTTTTAGACACGCTTCTCTTGTCAGCAGTTTGCACATCATTACAGGAATGTCTGATAAACGAACTAAGGCTGACAAAACTGAGCATCCCTAGCATTAAAAGGAAAACATATATTCTTACAACACTATACAACAGTTATGCTGTTGCTCCAATCATATCTTATGCTTTAATTAATCTTTTGATGTCTATGCACGGGTTGCAAAATTTACCGTGATTCCTACATGCAGAAATACACGGAGATCGCATATCCGAGGGCTTAGTTTGACAAACAAGGACTAATCAGAACCATTACAGTTTCGAGCATCCCATTCCAACAAGGTTCAACTGTCTAGCTTTAATTTAGTTTTATTTACAGCGGGGTTTGAGTCCCTTTATGGAGCTAAACAGCACTCTTAAGGACTAAAAGAAATTATCCCTATATGCTCAGCAATTACAAGCAAGACTAACTGGGAGAAGCAATTTAGTGTCACTTTTCTAAGCAAGTCTCAAAAAAAAAAAATTTAAACTTTCTACCGTATTTTCTTCCTTCAGAACTTTTTTACAACTGCAGTTTGGATAAGCCTTAAAATATTACCACCTCTTCAATACACTGTGTAAAATTAAGTTGGGAGGGTGGGGTGGGGAATCAACCATGTATATATCATACGATGTTACTGTTTCAAATTTGGTTGTCTCTCACAGCAACTTTATTTCGCTTCTATATAATCCAAATAGTAAATAATGTCTCTGTAGAGCAATAAATGCTTAACTTACATTTTTAGAAAGTATATACTGTACAATACTAAAATCATCTTTGGTCCCCAAAATAAGGAAATTACAAATTTACACTTGTTTTTCTGTTGTACAAAGTGTATCAGACAGTATTTTTTAAATTAATATTCTCTTTGAATGCTACCCTGAAAGCTGCGCTGAGATCAAGTCATGATGTAAGTAATAAATAATGGCATACTGTTCTCAGCTCAAGAAAACCTATTTCACACGTAAAAGCACTCCAGGTCATTCAGGTATTCTATACTGCACAAGGAAGTATTACACCATATTAGAAGTATAACTGCATCATTCTGCATTTGTCATTCCAGCTAGAAGATAACAAAAGCTTTTCACAATCTCACTCCGCAAAGAGCTGAGTGAAGTTATCCTTTTTCTAGGGCTGGAAAGGTGTAAGGATTTGAAAGATACCAAATTCGTAAGCTTACAGAGGCATGAGAGCTCCCCCACCCCTGAAAAGCTGGATCAGCGCAGGGAGTACAGGAGAGGCAGAGGGTGGTCTCTGAGGCAGCACCATGTCAGCCCGTGGTGACCAGCAACCGGGGTGCACTCCCAAGGAAAAGCCTTTGCTGCGCATCACCCAACTTCTGTTTCTTGATTTCAGGTGAGGGTTCCACTCTAAAAGCATGGATCTTCTGGAGGACAATATGCTGTATTTGAGCAGGGGGCGTCGTTTTTTTTGGTATAGGGATTTTTTTGGTGGTGGTTGGGTTTTTTTGGTTGGTTGGGTTGGGGTGGTTTTGTTTTTTTGTTTTGGTTTTTTTTTTTTTTTTTTACAATCTTTATATAAACTGCTTTAATGCCAGTTTACAATTCCAGTCCAGATAAGCTTGTGCTACTTTTAAAAAAGCTCTTTTAATAACTGACAATATCTACAAACTCTCCTTGCAAACTTTGCCAATACAGGCAGAGTGCTGAAAAACAGCAGGTCTATAACAAGTGTACTGGCAATAATAAACCTCGCTATTTAAACTTCACTGTTTCTGTTCTATTTCATACCACAGTGAACACGGAGCTGTCATTTACTTGTGAAATGCACAGTAATGCTGGTGAGACACCACCTCAATAAAATGTCTATGTTCTAAACCCAGCTCTAGAGGTTGGCTTACATGTTTTGATTGTTTTTTCTCAACTGGTGTTCCCTTTGGCATTAACTTTCAATGAAGCACAAGAAAATGTTACTACAGTAACTGGTAAACCATTACTTATTAAGAAAATGCAAGTTTTCTTTAATCTCATTAATAACTCTTTCTGAATTTTAATCTCCATCTTAGCCACTAAGGTGAAATGCACTGTAGACGTCAGTAAACTGAAAATGAAGACACATCAGTTTTTCACCAGTTTTTCACACATCAAAATAATTCTCCGTTGCTTGATTCAAACATCACAGCGTTAGGTTCACAGCTGTCCCTACTCCAGTTCCCTCCGGTATTAAAAAAGCCCAGGCACTTCTATTGATCTTCTGTTTGGAGTAACCTGGTTTTCATATTTCAAAGTGACCTATTGCAACGTATTGCCGTTTGTTCTTAAGATTCCTGTTAACAGCATTCATCCACTTAAGAGCGCAGCTCCATAAGAACACAACACAAAGTGTTCAAGTCAAAGACAAGACAAATTCAGGCATATGTGGCATACAGCTCCCTAATTTCAAAGATTTCATCGGCTTACACCAGAAAGGAATTCAGCTTTAGAGATCTCCCCTACGCATTTTTTTCATGTAACATGCAGGCATGCATGTGCCAAATAATGGATTACACCGATAAAAACATCCATCAAAAAACCCAGAAAAACAGCAAGGGACATCTTCCTTATAACATGACGATATTGTCTAACTGATTACTGCAGAATTCAAGTTTTGAGTAGAGAAAATAGCCGCCTTTTCACTGGAAGTACAATTAAAGTAAGAAAACTTCAGTTAGGTAAAACTATCTCTAAACAAATCAATACAACCATATTACCCTTCAAATATCTAAACTCATTTTCCAAAGAAATATTAGAGAAAAAAATTTGCAGAAACACTCAATTACAAGAAAAAAAACCCCACTTTTTACCTACTACCAACAGTTTTAATTTTAGAAGAAACAAACAACCCTCCAAAAAGGAAAATATTTATCTTACATGAATCACAATATTGCAACTTTAGAAACACTTCATAAGCACATCATAATTTTTTGCTAGTTCTTGTTTACTCAAGGCTTCTCAGAAAGTTTGAACCTTCAAAAAAACAAAACCAACAAACCAAAAAGCCCCCAACAACCAAAAGAAAAAAGCCACGACTGCAATGCAAGTCTACTGGGTGACAACTCCTTCTTTCTCTACTGTGGCCCTCAACCCCCTTCTCTCCACCCTGCCTCCCAAGCATCTTTCTTTTCCCACTTGGGAATGAAAACCAGAATGTATCCCAACATCAGCAGAAAACCACATACTTGCACTCCATGCATTATGGTGACCATTCAGGAAACCTGCTAACTTTGCACAAGTTCAGATCTGGCCAAGGCCACGTATGAACTGAATATGGCGATTTCAGAGTAACCCAAACGGTAACTACCTCAACACTATATCCATCACCCAAAACTGTGAAATGGATGTCCATTTCAGCTATGTAAGTGCACCAACAGTGAAACTGCAGGAGATCTTGCAGATGAGAACTGAGCTGCACTGCCGAGGCTGCACGAGGATGGATACAGAGAGTTTGTTGGACGGGATACATGGCTAAAGTTATTGCTATTTGCCCCTCGCTTCCTTTTCGCGTGTATTAAATTTACTTCTGGTGGATTTCTTTCTTATATTAACTAAGCAATGTAGTGCTGGTCTTAGTGTTTATGACAGACGAAGAAACAGTGGCAGAACACGTATATTCAGAGTTTGCACCTGGGAGAGGGAAGGAAAGTACTGTGCAGTTAATCCAAAACAGTAACGTACTGCAAAACATATATATGTTATATATTATATGGGATATATAATATATGTATATATATGTGGATGTCTTAAACGGATCTTGCTTTTGAGTGACCAATGTTTACTGCCTTCATGACAACAGCTTCTGACTCAATGCATCTCTGCACATACGCAGGGCTGGGAATTCTTTGCCACCATCTGATCTTCCTTTTCTTCCTTAAATAAAGAAAAAACCCTTTATTCCATGAGGGAGTTAAGCACTTCTTCTTTTCCCTTTGCAGTCCCATTTGAATGTTGCTTTCATGCATCCAGACGCTGAATCTCGGGGCGATGATCTACTTCTCTGGATTCTGTCCGAGCACGTATGTAATCACTGGTCTGCCGACTACTTTGTTGTCTGCTGTTCATTCGCCACTTTTTAATAGCTAAATATGTGTTCACAGCATACACTGCCATTGCCAAGAAACCAAATATCTACAAGAAGTAGAAAGAATTGTCAAAGACAATTTTTGAAAACAAGAACAATAGCAGTTTCACAACAAATTCCTCAGAAACTTAGTTTTCTACTGTATTTGCACTGACAACTCATCATGGCCTGTAAAATTGATGTTTTTCTTCTTCAATGAACTAGAGCATCTGCAAAAGCAACTACGACCAATGATCCCAGAAAAGAAAGTTCTCTGTCTACAAACATGACAATTAAATCCTGCAATGCAACTTCAGTGGAAGAACCTCTTGTAAAGAAGAATACAGCTCTTCATCTAACAGTTCATTCCTCAGGGTGCACGTAACAGCGAATGAACGACAAGAGAACAGATGACCAGACCAGACCATCAGCCTGGAGAAGGAGCTCATTTGCAGTTCTTCCTATATGCTTCTACAGACTGTTGTGCGATTTTCAATGTCCGGGATTTTTTTTTCAATTGCCAGCTCAAGCACTAAATTCATCTGCTTGACCATACTGTCCTAGATTTAAAATCTTGAAGTAAAGTTCTACTCACTCCACAGAACAAAAACAATCTGTAGTGAGCAAGAATTCAGCAAATTATGTGTAAGCAGCTCCAATTTCTTGTGAATTTTCGGCTCTATCTTTTCTGTAGTCTTGCAATACAGAGCAGTATCATCTAGGCTAGCTACAGAGAAACAAGCAAGGCTGCAAGTCATTCTTCTGTTTGTTCTTGCCTTAAGACAAAGAACTCAAAGGATGTCAGTAATTTTAAATCAGAATCAGCATACAGCCAACTGTAAAATTAGAAGTAAATCGTGATGGCAAAGGCAACAGGAATACTCAATGAACATGAGGGAAAAGTTATTCTTAGTTTTAATAGAAGATAAGAGTAATATATAAAGAAGTCCAAATTCTTACCACAGCAGCAATTTCTGCTCCAGTTTTATGGTTTAAAGCAGCAAGTACTACAGAGGCAATGAAAAAGAAGAAAGTGCTGAGTCCAGTGTTGACCAGATCCTAAAAAAATAAATTCATTAGCATTACTAAACAATGACTCTTTGCTTGCTTTTATTAGAAGTGAGGAAACAGACGAAGGTTAGAACTTGGAAGAAGAACTAGAGCAATACTTTCCCACTTTCTGTGCAGTTTGTCACTTACACAAAAGAAGGCAAAGATTATTACCCAGGGAACGTAGCACGTGTGCGCGTTAGTCTGTGAACGGAGCTCAAACAGCATGTACACACAAAGCACCAGTGCAGATTCTGGACGCGCTACCTCGATTTCTACTGGGTTTAGTAGAGAAGCACTGTCAGCATAAACAATGAGCAAAGCTGTTCTACCTCAGCTGACGCTGAAGTAAGCTAAATGTCAAGCTTTAGCACTCCAGGAACCCCTTGTCCTCTTCATCATCATAACAGTGCTCCATGCACTGCCCAGGTAACAGTCATGAATTTTACTACAAATTCTTGGAGGCCCCTATTGTAGAAGACTGCATGTCCTATGCTACTGCCCGTATTGTGAGAATACACAGATTTTTATGTATATATTGCATAAAATTGATCTTTCAAGCAGACATTTTAGAACATATGCACAGCAACACCCCGGGGGCACCTATGTTCAGGGAAAATCCTTGCTTTGCTCCAAGCACAGAAAAATGACAGGCAACATGCAGGGTCATTAACGCATCATGGGAACATAAGTAAGAATTCTGAATGGCAGCAATTAGCACAAGAATAATTATGTCGATACAAAACTATCTGATCAGACTTGAGGCTAAAAAACAAAATTCTAGTTGAGACTTCAAAATAATAGAAGAAATAAAGTGCTAGATTCCTTAGGGACTAGCTGGTCACTATGTTACTTGGGGCAACTTTCACAATTTTTTAAAACATTTGATACGTATGTACACTGCCCTGTACATACACTACAGAGACGGAGGGAACAACCGACTGTCAGGATAACCAAATGAATCGGTGAAGTCAGGGAGCAAGGAGAGGCGCAGAGGAATCGGGGAATGGCAGCTCAGCACAAATATCCTGAAGGAACAGGAGATCAGGGAGAGGTGAATACTATCGTAGCCAAAAGGGCTGGAAAGAAAACCATATATTATATGGTATATACAAAGTATATTACTTTGCTGTGCCACTTACAGTTTTGAGTTAAAGAAAAAAAAGAAAAACAAAATACACTGAACATGCCAACTCCCACCATTAAAAAAAATCCCATCACCACTCTTTAACTAGAATTCAAGGACAAATTTGTTCTACCTGACTCTCTTCTTTCACACACAAGTCAGGCTCACTTCCTCTTACTGCTCCTCCACTTACTACAAGTATCGTTTTATTTTTTTATTGGCTTTTTTCCCCAAAGTACATCTTGTAAAGTGTTGTAAGAAGTTAGGCTTAGAAAACTAAAGATATAAATCTAAACTTATTCCCTGGGTATGAATCCCATGACTATATTCCAGCTATGTAGCACAAAGATTTTCAAAAGACCCTTGTCATCCAGCCACCCCCAAAGCATCTGTTTTTCTAGCCATGACTTGAGAACGCTTTGGAAAGCAATTATAAAAACTGAAAGTTTCTGGCACCGTTATTCACAGGGAAAACTATTTTGAGGGTACTGACTCAGCAACAGCCAGTTATCAAACTGAAGCGTACCTGGGAATAAACTGTATGATGTAGCACTGTGGCCTGATCCTCACCTAAAGGGGACTTTCCCAGGAAATCCGAGGCTCATGGCTATTCCATTGCTCATCGCTATTTCTACCCACGTGTTCAGATTTCATGAGCCCAGCAAGACCCAAGCTGCCTTACCAAATAGTAAGGAAACAAAAGTAAACTGTGGGTCTCAGAAACTCCTACCATCTTTCCACCTGCCAGTGTGTAACTACAGAGATACTTTATGTTTCCATTCAAGCTCACAGAGATAGACGTTATCTGGTACTGACAGCAACAAACACCACTGGATTTTTATTAAAATAGTTATTGCAATTTTAATTATATCAGTTCTTGTCTTGCAGAGATAAATTAAGAAATAGAGATATTAGAAAATAAATGGCATTTCACAATTTCTCCCAGTACCCTCCTCTCCAACTCCAAGTTTAGCAGCTCAAGCTGTGCTTCCAGGGTGGCCAACAAGAGCTGTGGTTCTCATCTGCACAAACCTTCTCCACTAGAGGGAAAGTCTCACTATACGTGACAACCGAGACCAGACTCAACAGTATTCAACATTTTGATCAAGTCTCTAGAGTAAACATATGTATGTCACTAAGAATGCTGAAACTAAATACTGAGGAGAGGGCAGCTACGCTCTTGAATAAATAAAGCAAAAAAAATTAAAATTTAGTTCAACCCAAGGTTAAGTTGTGTATTTTACTACCAGAGTACATTTGCCGCCTACAGGAATGATCTATAGAATGAAGATGAAATCCTAGAAGAACTAATTCTGAAAAACTTAGTAATCACAGTAGGTAAGCATCTCACCATGTGATGCCACGACAGAAAAAAAGGGAGAAAAAGCACTCATACATTCCTTTGGACATATGGACACAATAGGTGTAAGGTGGTAATCTTACCTTTGCAAGGGACACTGGAATGCTGCATCCTGTTCCGGTATCCACATTTTAAAAGTATGTTGAAAAATTGGACAGGGTACAGAGAAGAGCCACAGAAGTTATTTGAAAGGAGGAGAAAATTTCTCACAGTATGAATCAAAGAACCTAAACTGCTTTGAATATTAAAATGATTGAGCTGTGTACATGAAGACTCCCGTGTTCAAATAATAAAAAAATACTAGCTGTTTTAAACGATTAGCACAGAGAAGCACAATATAATTAATACTGTAACAAAATTAACAGCTGCAAAGTTAAGACAAAAGTCACATTCAGAATAAGTAAGTTTTAATGTTAAGGGAGATAACCACCAGAACAACCAACCAAAGATGTGCTTAATATTCCACCTTTTCATTTCTTACAATCCAGATTATGTTTTTTCAGACACACTTTGTACTTCCTTTGTACCATACTTAAAGACTAAGTGGATGACACATAATGCTCTATGATTTATGGGGTCAGATGGGCTTATTAATTAATCTTGCTGACCTCTGACTTTTTGAATCTGACAGCTTGATCACCTTGCCAAAGGAGAATAGTATAAGCAAGTACAGACCTATCCACAACATGACAGACATTATCATCTATCTCCACGCTACAAATTGACTTGAAGGCTTCTTGTACATTCGAGATACCGCAGAATATGAGATACTGCTGAAGTTAGAATGCTGGTGCCTTTGTCACTATTTTTCCAGGAAACTAAAGATCTAGATGCATTAGAAACTTTGTCATCATCGCTGGCATTTTATTTTATTGTATTTTTTATGAAGAATATCAAATTTCTCCTTGCAAAGATTCGAACAATTCAAATCTAAAGACTTCATTCCCTCTTGAGGAACCAATTTATTTGTTTCTGCAATTCTATTTTCCCTGTTCAGCTGAAAACTTTTTAATGCAATTAATAATTGATTCACATAGATACAATAAGGCTGGTTTCTTAAAAAGCTAAAAATAACACATTCTTTCATACCCACAGATCAGACTGTTTGGAGCTTAAGGAGCAATGATGCTTATCAGTAACACTGACATACAATGGTAACATCACAGACACAAATATTGGTGGAGGGTTTTAATCCAAGATTTAGTACCTACTACTTAGAGCAGAAAAATAAGAAAAGAAAAAAATACAACAGTCTTGGAAGAAGTCAGAGGAGAAACAAAAGAGAATGAACTACAGTAAGAATTAAAACAGTAAAGGACACGCCCTAAAATAATGTAGCTTTTTTCCACGTAAGAGAAAATGAATAATCGTGACAATAAAAAGAATAAACTAATTGAAAAAAGATGAGCCGTTTCAATTCTGGCCATGATGTAGCTGAAGTTCTTGCTATTATATTTATAGACAAAGTAAAAACCACATCACACAGATAGAAGAATTTCTGCTGAAATTACAGCAACCTCATGAGACAGTATGCTGTGCCATAAAATACTGTACAAAGCTGCCATCCATAACAGAGAATAACATCTACGAGCTGAATCAAATCCACTCTAGACTGCTGCTGCTTCCCTTCTTTCCAAAATGATTTAAAAACGAAAGATTGACTTCCAGTCACTTGCTAGTTATTCGAAAGTCATTCTGTTCAGTCACCAGTGGTCCTACTAGTCCAAAGGAGAGCATCCAAGGACATGTATTTGCTACTGCCCTCACCAGCTATCTGTCCCACTCAGAAGGAGCGCAAGGCAGAGGAGGCATCTTAACTTGTGGATGAAGATGGGTTTATGCCAAGACAGCATTTTATACTAAAATAGATGGGGCGAGGCTTTTGTTCTGCTGATTCTGCTCTAAAGGTGGGAAACTCTAGAAAAAAAAAATGTGGACAGCATCCTACAGTCTTGCGTTGTTAAGGGTCTGGACAGCTACGGTTCCCAGACTAATGAGGATGGAGAAGCTGAACTGGTGCTATGAATGAGAGGTCCATTAACAGACCTGAAAACTCCTGTTAAGTAACTCCTGAAAGCTGCAAAGCAGATCAGCTTTGAAAGCTGTTCTTAAGTCCTCCAGTTTGGTACATTACCAAGAGTTGGCTCTGATGCTCAGATATCCATGAGCCTTTACCCATCGCTCTCCCTGACTTCACACATGCAAACTTTTAAGAGACATTCAATCAAAATACATGCTCTGCCTTTTCATCCTGTATTTCGCGGTGAAGTAAGAGACTGCGCAAGCAACCAGATACTATTTAAAAGGGAGACGGTGCCGCATTGCAATTATAACTTATATAAACAAAAATACAACATTTAAAGTGGTGGTTGCTTTTGTCACTCGCTTTCTGAAATCCAAATTTAGATGGAATTTAAAGTAGGTAAATGAACGTAATCTGGAAAAGAAGCCTGCACATTTCAACAGCTTGACTTTGTCACCAAAGGTGACAGAAGTTAGCAGCCTGCTGCTGTCCAGGTAATT